ACCTGTAACCTAGATTTGCTCAGGCCTATAACCGTTAACTGTTTGGTTATAAGTATCTTTTATTAGGTACCTATTCACTTTGAACAGCGTTATGTATCTAGGAAGTAAATAAATAGCGACGTGGCCTATATATATATTTTTAGGTTTTAGCCTAAATAAAATTAATGTGTCCAATTTTTTTAGAGACCATTGATATAGTAAATCAATGAGTGACACAAATAAAATTTATTCGTACGTTCAGCTAGGAAGATGCAACATTCAAAGAGTAATGCTGAATACAGCAATTAAGTTAGTCGATATGAAGGAGCCAACTGAATAATACTAAATAGGAAGTTCAATCTTAAGTTCTGGATATAGTGAACACCGGCAACTAATAATTTTTTACTTTTCAATTTAACATCAAATATGCACTTTCAATTTTGTATAACACTAGGCAGACTTTAAGTGTTGTATTATAATGTCATAATTACCATCCTCTTGACCGTTGACCATTTCTGGATAGGTCGCGTCAGTAATGTTACAAATATCATAAAACTTACAAATAAAAAATACTTCAACATATAATTATTATTAATTAACTTGAGTGTCAGGCGGCATAAAAAATATTAAAAAACTAACTGAGCTTTGAAGTGGGTAGACACGTACTGCGCCAGGACTAAATAATCCCTCTCTAGCAAACTCCCTTACTGCGCCAGCACTAGTCCAGGTAGGCGAGGGGGCGCCTTCTGGTTAATCTACCCATTGGGATTTGGGATGTAAACAAACCACACACCCTTACGCACCATTGGTATTCCAAATGTAAAAAAACATCACAGCTTTCGTTATTTGGAATTCATATTTTCAATTTTGTTTTCCCCACTTATTATTGGTAACATATTTTTAGGGGAGAGCGGGGCTAAACCGTACACCCACTTTTTTGGCCTAGAATTCAAGCTAGGTGATCCAGACAAGTGCTGCTATCTAGCAGCAGAATGCGCAAGTTTATAGTATCTGCGTCGTTTTGCTATGTGTGCTAGTTTCAATGTTTCAGTAAAAAACATGTTTCTACTCATTTGCTTCTAATTTTCGTCCAGTACTAAATAAAAAGTTAGTGAAGTAGCTTTTAACGTAGTCAATTAACTGTGAGATCATAATAAACTACATCCCTTAAGCTCTCTTTTGGTTATTAGCGATGATTGGTTAAGTGATCGAATTTGAGTTTATGTTTATAAATTCCCACGAGGTACAGATTGGGGCTAAACCGTACAGCTCTGGTACAGGGTGCTGCTCATGTTCAGGGTGGGTCCATTCAGCATGCAGTGCTGCATGGACATTTGCAATGCTACATTTGTGGACTTTTTCTTCTTTCTTTTAATTTTGGGATGAAATTTTATAACTTTTTCATAAACTTCATGTTTTTCATGAAGTTTGATTTTTGAAATGTAATTTCTTCTAAAATGTTAAAATTGTAATACACTGTTTCTTAACTACAACCTTTATATAGTAATAAAAAGTGTTTGTATAATAATTTGTTGCAGTACTATTATTTTACTAACCTAAACAAATTATTTTTGAACTGTACGGTATAGCCCCTTTTTTACTGTACGGAATAGCCCCAACCCCTGCGGCTATTTCGTACAATGTAACTTTTTTTTAATCACCAATTTTTACATGTAAAAAATGCAATAGTTCCAAAATGTTTATATACAATCAGTAGCCAAATAATTAAATTATATATTGCTTGTGTTTACATTACTTTTACTTCGTAATTTGCGATGTAAATACGAATCTCCCTTATGTGTACGGTATAGCCCCGCTCTCCCCTACATTGTCGTATTTGATCCTCCTCCTGAAATTTCAGTTGTTTGTTAGTTGTCAACGCGAGGAGTTGTAGTTGTTATTTTGTTTCAATGTGTTGGGTTTCGTTTTGTTAGCGTTTTATTTATTTATTTGAACTGAAGAAAATTTTGAGTGAACGGGGAAAAACTTTGATAGTGTTGGACGGATATACTTATTGAAATATAGTTACGTCAAAGATCGCGCTTAGAGGAACGGTGGAGATGTTCAAATAAACGTAAGTATACTTATTTTTTAATAACAACTTATTGTATTTTCTTTATACTTGCCGAGCTCTTTGTTAGTTTTTTTAGTTATTTATTTCAAGTAACCATATACAAGCAAAGTTAAGAAAATGTTTTTAATGCTCTTAAGTCAGGAAAAATTGTTGAAATTAGTTTAAAGTCAGGGACATTTACATTAATTTTGCGGGGTGGTTTGTTATGTTGAAATGAAATAGTTGCTGCAGAGATTAACAAAAGTTCTGAAAAATTGGCAATTTAACAAAAATTAACCAATTAAGAGCCGGTGACTTGGACTTACTGTGTTTCTTGAAGTGTGTGGAAATCAATTTCGCACCCATTTAGGCAAAAAACATTAATTTTTTCGCTAGACTACTGCCGAATTACCTTTACATCATACTACACAAAAGTAAGTCCTTTTCCAGGATGGAAAACATGCACTGTAAATTACACATGTCAAATATGTAATTACTCAGTTCATACTTTCGTCAACAATAATTCTTTTCTCTATCAGTTGATTTGTTTTTACTTTTAGTTGTTTTTATGTCGTAAGCTTGTATTTTGTTTTATTATAATTTTTTTTTTGAAAATTGTATATTGGGAACTAATAAACTTTTTTAATGTTTAAATGTATTTTGGAATATCATTCGCCTTCCCATTTATGTTAGCCTATAGTATACTTATAGAAAATACAAACTGAATTTCGACATATTATTTCTATTATGATTGTGACAAAATTATTCACTTCAAAAATCATAATTTAAATTTTATTCAATTATATTTTATCATACCAACAACTAGAAGCAGATATTAATATTTGGATCAGCATTGTTACTCAAGTTTTTATTTCATAAAGTAGATTGAGTATTGTAGTAATAAGGTTTAGCACAAAATACAGTAGGTATTATCATTGTATAAGTCACAGAGTGTTTATAAATAAGTGGATAAAAAAGTTTGATTTGATTAACACACTGAATTTAGGTATACGGTATCACACTGAATGAACTCTCAGACTCATTATTACGACAGTTTCTCTCAGAACTATTATTACAAAGAAAACACCGCTCTGGCGCAGTACAGTTCTGATTTTAGGGGGTAGATTTAAGTGCTGGCGCAGTGAGGGCCTTCTACCTAGACCCTCTGGCGCAGTAAGGGCGCCCCGTTTGAAGTAATCCTCTAAGAAATAAAAGCTCTGTTGGCAACACCGCGACTTTAACTTCTTTTTGAACAGTTTCGGCTCCAGGTTTTTAATGTTCTCAGGCAGTCTATTAAACATTTTACAAGCCAGTAGTGGGAAACTGTCCTTCACTTTAGAAGTGCGGCATCTGAGAATAGAGATCAGGTTGTTGTTTCTCAGATTGTGACCGTGAAGCTGCCCTCTTATTTGAAAATCAGCTAAATTCTCTTTTACGTAGAGGAGGGAGCTCAACACGTAGTTCCCATAGACTGTCAGGATGCCAAGCTCTTGAAACAAAGGTTTGCAGTGTTGCCTATACTCAGCCCCTGTCATAATCCTCAAAACCATCTTCTGGTACAGGAGGACTCTCTCACATGCTGCAGAGTGCCCCCACAAAAGCAGTCCATAGGAGATGTGTGTATGGAACAGGGAGTGATAGATGACGACAAGATACTGCAAAGTGACCAAATTTTTCAGTTTGAAAACAATTAACACAAAGTGAATTGTTGATCTTTCCTGTGCTCCCCCCTCCACTGTATAATGCAATGGAAAATATTGTACTGCAAACTGTTAATTTCTTAGATAATCACATATCTTTGTGTTACTACTTTAAAAACTCTCAGCGTTGTTTCCAGAAAAAGATTTACTAAATAACTTATTAAAACTTTCCTCTTTTACTCTAAAGTTAAAATGTAGCAAAGCCCATGCTATTTATTATAATCCAAATAATAAAAAATATTAAAAAAAAACACCGACGTTATATTTTATTTGTGCCGTTAATGTGTTGTCATTTGTAACAAATTTTAATTTAGGGTATGTTTTTAAATATTTATTTACTAAAGCCTTAATACCTTATACTGTTTTTATACGCCAATAAATGTTCTAATTCAATTCATTTTAACTGGTATTACTTACTTTTAATTAAAAAAAATCTTTAAGGAGTCTTTTAACAATCGTGTAATAAAGACAAGTGCTAACAAATTTACATGGAGTAAATACCGTGAATGATTCCATAAGCCCTACACTACCCCACTAGATCACTATGTGTCCGGGGGTATGGTGATGGAAGTTAGGCAGGGACCCGACAACGGGGAAATTCCATTTAGTCCTAATGTCGCACCCTTAGAAAATGCCACATGACTGCCCCAGGGGGTTCAGGCTGGCCCAGGTCAATTTCAGTACTACGTCGCTTTACCAGCCAAAGGAGTTAGGGCGAAGAGATGCCTTGGGTTGCAGGGAGCAAAAGAAGAAAGAGGGTTAAGTGTTGTAGAGAAGGGGAGAAGGGTGTTGTGCCTAGGATTCGGAGGAGGGAAAGAAGAAAATGAGGGGCGTATGTTGGATTTTGTGGAGTGGGGACCCAGCTCGCCTACCTCAAAACTGCCTTGGAGCCGGGTTAAGTTGTGAAATTAGTAACGTCTGATTAACCTTACAGTGGGGGTCAGATTTGGAGCCGGGTAGACGTGCCACCTCATAAAAACATACCCTCCACAACAAACAATAGGAAGCAGTGTTGGCAGAGTGCCCGTTTCCCTTCCTGAAGTAAGGACCCATACCTTAATCAACTACACAGTATTAGTATGTTGAGTGCTTCAATTAAGTGGAATTTGAGGAGGATAGAGTGCAAATGCTTCATACGGAGTGCTTCGTACGGGTTGGCTAGTCTTAATAATAGCTTTATAATAGTCTTTTGATAAACACAAACTCAACATCACCAATGATGAAGGTAAACCTAAAAGAAGTTGATATAGATAATGTATTTATTTCAGATTTGACGAGGGTAGAGACGGGTTCCTAGACTTACAAGAGCTCAAATGGATGATGGAGAAGCTTGGAGCCCCTCAGACCCACCTCGGCCTCAAGGCTATGATCAAAGAGGTGGATGAGGACGACGACAACAGAATCAGCTTTAGAGAGGTGGGTCTTCTTATACTTGAGTGCTCAAACTTAATACAAGGTTGTCTACGTCAGTGTCTTGGCTAAAAAGACACCCGTAGTCCTTTAGGTTCAGCATAGCCACTTTGCAGCTAGAGGAAACATCAGGCAGTGCAGATTGGACAATATTGTTGACAAAAATAAAACAATTCAATGGAATGTCACTATACTTATCGTCAGTATCAGTTGAGATGGGAAGTATGTACATGTTTTAACCCAAATAAGGGTGAAGGATGAGTGTAGAATGGAGTGAGATGATCTGTGTAGCTTTGTTAATGACTAGGATGAAATGAAAATCCTTTAATTCAACAGGCAAAGTTACTTGGTGTCACTTGGTTAACAGTACAACAAACCACGGGCGAAAACCTGTAAAACAGCGATCATTTACATTGTAATACGCTACAATCGTGTTTGTAAATAATTTATTCTTGTTTTTTAGTATTTTGTATAACCTTTTGTAATGTTGCATATTTGCGACACCCGGTCTACAGCAAAGACAATAGTGAAAATTATCAGAGTTTTATTGAAATAGACCAAACGTCGCATATATGCGAAAGTCCATTTTTGTTTGTGTTTTGAGGTGAAAGTAAGTAAACAAAACAGATTATTCAAGAACAGTTGATTACTGAACAAATATAAAAGCTAAACTTACATAGGATAATGCAGCATACATACATACAGTAATGCAGAAAAGTAAAGATCAGTTTTTTCAACTATCATTATGACGTCACCAATCATCATATCCACAGACCGAGCGACGCAGTTGTGCGTCAGACATCACTGTAGACCACTGCAGGGAATTCAGTGCCTTCAAATAGACCGTTACAAAGATATAAGCATTTTAATAACATTAGAACCCCGACGCAAATATGCGACGGCAGTCTGTTTTAATGTGACTAGCCGTTGCATATACGCGACGACAGTTTATGAGTGGAACCGGCCATCGCATATGTGCGTCGCTGGTCCATATGAATGGAAAATTTCGTACTATTGCAGTAGCAAACGTGTTAACCTGCATCACACTATAATAATATTATTATTTAATATGAAAGTTTGTTTGTTTGTTTGCTTGTTTGAAGTTCAATCACGCATTAACTACTGGTGGGATTGGGCTGAAATTTGGCTTGATGATAGCTTACATTCTCAATTAACAATATGTGTATTGTTATCTTTAAAATCCTTTTGGGCTCCAGTGGCTTTCCATGTTAACCAAGAGTGTCTATATATAAATAGGCAAGCATGTTTCTTTAAAACCTTTTTTCTCAGCTTGTATGCATCGCAGAGAAAATCTACGCATATTGTTAGAACGATGTTTTCCTGTAGATGTGCAGAATCCCACTTTGAATTAAAATAAAGGATTGATAAAGAGTAGGTACTAATAATAGGTCAAATACCTTATTTACGTCTTCAATCCAATTCGTCTTTTTTATTACTATAGTTTCGGGCCAAACAGCTACATTGTCATATCTTCTGTCTTATTAATTGCTGTTAAAAGCATTTGGTCATCGTTGAATTCCACATGTAGTACATGCACACACTGACACACAAAACATTTGAAATTTAATACTTTTGGCCAGCCTAAACAAAAATTAACTAGCATTGTTTGGACCAGTACACCGACTGATGCATGTTAGCCGATACCCTGGAGACGTTGACCTTGGCCTTAAGGGAGGGGGGAGATCAACTGTTTATCACTATTTCTATTGTTCAATGATTCAATGCGATTGAACAGAATGTTGGAGTTAAAAGTTAGTTTTTCATTTAACACATCGTTTAGCGATTTTTTTTAAGCTTTATAAGTTTTGTAGCTTTCTAGAACGTTCATCATAGGGCCTTTATTGCATTTATTCTCCGTTGGAACTTTTTATAGAATAGTTTTCTTTTTGCAGGTGTTCAGCAATCTTAGAACGCTGTGAATACAATTTAGGTTTAGGGAGATGTTCATTAAACCTTTTTCTAAAGGAACTACCTGTTTGCCCTATGTACATTCTTGGGCAATCATTGCAATTTATTTTATAGACACCCGTGTTGTCCAAGTTGTTATCGATATTATTACGCCGATTCGTTTTCAAATGACGTTCTATCTTGCTTGAGGTTTTGCATGACATGGTGATATTTTGTTTCCTAAGTTCATTTTTAATAGTGAAGGGGAGGACATTGCCATATTTGATTGATATGAACTTTTGATCAGACTTATCAGTTTCTTGTTAAACGGTTTTGGATTTCTGTTTACTGATTAGTTTATCTATGATAGTACTGGGATAACCAATTTTTCCTGCAATGGGTTTTAAGATGTAATATTTGTTGTCATAATCATTTTTTGTTAAAAGAACCTTCAATAGTCGGTTTACAAAACTATTGTAGGCAGCCATGTTGTGGGACTGAGGATGGTTAGATGTGACGTGTATCGAATGATCAGTTGCTGTGGTTTCCTGTATATTTTGTATTTGAAGCTGTTATTGTCTTTTAATAAGGTCAAATCCAAGAAAATTAATGGAATCATTCTGTTCGATCTCTAATGTCTATTTGAGGTTATGGGAAATACTGTTGAGATAATTGTTGAATAAATTAAGTTGTCTTGCATTACCATTGAATAGTACAATGGTGTCAACCACATACCTTTTATAAAACAATATGTTGTGTGCAAATTTGTACAACCACATATTGTTCCGGGAGTGTTGTGATCCACTTAAGCGACACAAAAAGCATATTACAAAAGGGCTTAGGAAAATAACAGTTGATTCTGAAGTTCTGGTAAAACCCCCTGTTCTTTTGTCAAACATCTAGCTACTCGAACCAACGGTTCAAACACATTTAACTATATACTCACTTTCTCTCTACTCCATGATTCAGGAACAAGACTAAGGATCTTCACTTTAGTTTATTTGTCAGAAAATTTAAATTTGTCTTTTAATTTCTCAATCTAATGTTCATACTTAACATATTTTGGAGTGGACGATTCATTGCTGGTCGACGGATTGGGAATATCTTGCTCAAATGACAGTTTAAATTTTTTACTTAAATATCAATGTGAAGGATATGCATCTTTTTTAGAGTGGGGCCTCTTTTGTCTGTGCTCAGTTTTCGTAATTTACTAGCTGGAGAAAGTCCTAATATAGAACATGCTGAGTCAATCTTACTGAGAACCTCTGTTGATTCAGCAAAATCTGTAACATTGATCAGGCCAGTGGTTTCTGGGTCTTTTATAATAAAAAATGTTTTGACTAACCAGTTGGGCAGAGGGACTTGCCAGGAACTAGTGAAATACTGTCAATATTCTTTTTTTTTGTGATAAGTGATCAACTGTTATTTTCCTAAGCCCTTTTGTAATATGCTTTTTGTGTTGCTTAAGTGGATCAAGAAAATCCCCTCGCCCTACGCTCTGGAGACGACCCTGCTGTTAAAGTACTTGGATTACTGTTTGATCTCGCTGAAAATGTATTTTTCTATGTAATTAAACTGAACCCTGTAGTGTGTACCAAGCGCTCAATGCTTTCTGAGATTGCTAAAATTTATGATATTTTAGGATGGATAACATCCACTTCGTTTTACGCCAAACATATTATCATGCAGAGCACATGGTTATGTGGATTAGAGTGGGATGACCAGACTACTAAGTTTAAATTTAATTTACTAAAATTTAAATAGGAAATAAATCTGACAATTTTAAGGGAATGATTTAGTGGAATTTCAGCCAGGTACTGTAGAGGGAAATTCTTTTGATCTGCAGGTTTGCTGCGGCTGGGGTATTTTTGTAATTGACTTTAATAAAAACCTCAGACTTTTTTCAATATCTTTCAATTTTGTACCAAGGGCGGGGTCCTGTGTGGCCTAACTTATCGTACGTGCCTCGGACCGGCTCTGCATGGAGATGTGGGATGTGAAGCTGTTCGGCCCTTAGGAATTTTTTCATGATATCAACTTTTAACATTTATCTGAACAAATTTAAAGAGGGAATCTAGGAGCCAGTTTTGTCGAGAAGTCTGGCTAAAATTTGTTATATTATTGCTGTATACATTCTCTGTGATGTTAGTTACTATACTAGGGGCCAAGAGAGTCTGCAGTTGGTGGCAGCCAATAGAAAGACTGGATTAGCGCAACGTTGCAACATTGCCTAATCTCTAACTTTCGACACTAATAAAAATATACTAAACATTATTTTCAAATCAACTGGTATTATTAAATTTGGCAACACTGCACTGTCCTCATTGGCTCCTTTGAAGTCACGTGGTAAATAGGCTTCTCCCTTAATTGCAGACTCTTGTGGACCGTACTGTAAGTGGTTATCTAACTCAAAACGTATTTATTTTGCTTAGCTTTCAATTCTTTAAACCCAACTACAATGTAGTAGTATCTACCTTTGATTTGTTTACAAAAGATTTATAGACGTGACAAAAAACTGCTTAAGTAATAATGTCAATAATTATTTTGTTATCGGATACAACCTAAAACAAAAAATAAATCCATTATTATGCAGTTAGTGATTTGGATGTTTATTTGTTCAGTTTCTGCTGATCTTCCGCAAAGCCAAAGCGGGAGAGCTTGTAGAGGAGAGTGGCCTCAGCAAGTTGGCTCAACTGACTGAGATCAGCGTAGAGGAGGTTGGAGTGGGAGGAGCAAAGAGCTTCTTTGAAGCCAAGGTAAATCTATATCTATATACAGGGTGTTTTTAAAAGAATGCCGGGGTTGTTGCCCGGGGACTATTTAAGATAATTAAACAATTTAAATGTCAAATTGAAGGGAAAGGAACAACGTTTTTTTCTCATTCTTTGATACAATTCGGAGTGATTTAATAAAATTCAGATTTTCATCAATCTTATTTGAGCGTAAAACTGGCAATGTCTTAACGCTTAGGGCGGTTGGTGTGTTTATCAGATGTCTTAACTGAATCTTTTAGGCAAAAAGACTCTATATTTTACAGACAACATCATTAAGTGGCCAATTTAGGTCTGTTCAACTGAAGACTTCGTCGGGCAATTGATTTTTTCGGGCTTTTGAAGCAGAATTGTCTGATTTCTTTGACTGTGACATCGCTTGTTTTTAGACGGCCAGTTGAATGTCTTTTCAAAACACTACGGTGCCATAAAACTCATTAAACCAGCTTCAAGTTTCTTTATTATCAAGTAGATTTGATGTTTTTTTATTTAGCAATGGATATAAACTCTGCGAACCACAGATTACAATCTGTGTCTTCTGTTGCGCCGAAAACGTCTTAGTGGCAACTGGCGTCAAGCGTATGAGCCACAATAGCGGCCTATCTCAGCGCACCTGCTTTGTACATGCCAAGGTCAAAATTTCCTCCCTTAATGCTACACAGGAAACAAAACATATTTTAGCTTCAATTTGACGTATAAAACGTTTAGTTACCTTGATTAGTGCCCAAGCAATTATCATTTAAAATCCCGGCATTCTTTTAAAAACACCCTATATGTATATACGTATTATATATATATATATATAGATATAATAGGCTAAGCCGTTTTTTGTTAATTGAACTCCTCCGTTATTATTCGCCTGATTTTAAAGTATGAAGTCTCAAAATAAAGGGTTGAACGTGTAGTTGTGCCCAAGGGTATTAGATTTTTGATAAAGTGGTTGTTAAGGGTGTGAACAGCCTTTAAGTCCGTTTTTTTTCTTCATAAGAATAACAAGGGAGATAATTTATATTGACAGAAACATATGTTTGTAGGTTGAAAATAGTCAAAGTCTACTACATAACAATTGCTGTGTACTATGACTGTTAATATAGACAAAATTGTAATAAGGTTTGTGTACCTTAAAGATTACTCATAATGGATCCCACTACTTTATTTTAATGCTGGGAATAGTAAAATTTTGTTGAGAATACTACCATGATTAAGAAAACTTAACTATAATATTTAAAATCACAAATCTTTGACATTAATTAATTTGACACGAAACAGCTGATCGATCAGAAAAATGTATTTGTATATCAAACAAATCATCTACTTCATGTGTTACACACTAATAACGTGATTCTTTTATACTTTGTGAATTTGTTTTGAGATTGCAGCTACTGTATGATATAACCAGTGTTGGGTAAACTACTTTTAAAATGTAGCTTGCTACTGCTACAACTACAATTCTTTAAATGTAGTTTGCTACTGCTACAACTACAATTTTACAAAATGTAGCTTGCTACAACTACAACTACAATCAAAATGTAGCAAACTACTTTTTTGCTACATTTTTGCTACATTTCATTTTTGACAATAAAGACATTACTTTTCAGAATATACAGTATGATAGTACTGAATTAGTTATTCATTGAAATTTGTAATTCTAATGGGTTATGAAATGTAATGGATTTGATTTGCTCTAACCATCTATTTCTAAACAGGTGAGCTAGCTGTGATCCTCAACATCCTATAAACAACATTAAAACAAATCTTACACTCTCTTATTACCATGGCAGATATACTTATATTGACAAAAGTGTCAAGTGTCACTTAAATGTTGTATAACTTAAAATATATTAAAAACCTAACTTTACATAAAAATATATTCAGTAAGAATTACAAATTTTAATGATAAACTAATTCAGTACTATCATAACCCAGGACTACAAACTGAGCCTAACCTAACAGATGCAATCCTCATTAGTGTGAAGATAAAGTAAAAATCCAATTTTTATTATTCATTCATAGGTAGGTAGGCCTACTCCAAATCAATAGCTAAAAGTCCTTAAATATTTATTTTATATCAAACCAATTTTTTTTTGTGTCAAAGAATAATTTAAATCAACAAAAACGTTTTATTTAATCTATAACTTATTTCTTAAAAATACACAAGTCAATGTTTTCGTATCAATCTCTAGATCAATGTTTTTTTAACTACTGTGTCCTTTCTCAGAAAGGCAGAAGGAAAGGTGGGCAGATTTTCCCATCCTTGTTAGTCAGTCGTGACGTCATCGTTGATGCGATGCAGTTATCGTACTGGTATCGCATAGCTCCACAAGTCAATAGTCGATATCGAATACCCCTAATTTACTTTACTTGAGAATCGCTGAAACGAAACGCTTCCATCTTCTTTCTCGAATCTTGCTTGGTTAGGTTCAGGACTCTAGATTCTCGTTCTTTGGTTCTTTCTTTGTTTTTGTTTGGTTGGATTGCATGTAATGTCGACAAGCGTAACGAAAGAAAAGTTGTTAATCGTGTTTTCAGATATAACTCACTAGTTTAATTTTTAATTTATACCCGTACTTAACTTACGAGAAGTTGTTTTCTGGATAGGCCTAGGCCTAGTTTAACTTAAATTATACATTTTTATATTTATATGACTTAAGTATTAACTTAGGCCTAGGCCTATTAGAGGATTTTAAATGGAGGCAACAGAAGATAATAATGATGGTGATCAAGTGGAATCAAAATTACACTTTGTTAATACATACGACCAATTTTCTATTAAAATTGCAAGAAACCGAAGTATCTACGTATAGCAAATTTGTTTGCAGGCGTGCTTGTAAGCAGGATTTTGGCCATAACCTGTATAATACTAAAATAGCTTCAAGTTCTTGTTTATCTTTTACTTGGTCACAAGCCAAGTCCAACTTGGTTATAAGCTCCTTATTACCGATAATACAATTAGATTTGCATATGAGCGGTAAATTTAATTTACAGACCGTTCTATAACTTTAGTTTAAAAGCGTTTTCTACTGTGACTATCACAATCATACTTCATATTCATAGATTGTAGAGAAACAACCTAAACCTACATTAATAACAACCTACAACCATAACCATCAACCATGATGTTATGTTAACAAATTCGACGCGAATAACGATCAAATATCGATAGACGATATTTAGAACTACATCGACTTCCCGAATCGATCGAATCAACGTGACGTCACGACTGACTAACAAGGATGGGAAAATCTGCCCACCAGAAGGAAAGGGCCAGGCAGTAAGTATACTTAAACAAACCATAAATCACTCGCCTCCTGCCGGACCTATTCAAGGTCACAGACCTCTCCCCATAAGTTTGCATTAGAATGCTCAGTTTGGAGACGAAATTAATTGTGTTATGAAACATGGAAGTAAAATTAAAAATAGATTTTTTAGTTTTTCAAAACAAAATACTGTTTCAGATTTCCACGGCAGTTGTAGTAGTAGAGTATTTGCGTGTCTAAATGGGAAACATTAATTGATTTATTCACAAAAGCTACACAACAATTATGAACATTTAATAAGCCTATGTCGTAAATATGAAGTCTAACGAATTTTGCAAAAAAGTCCAATTCAAATTTTAAATAATCTCTTAATAAATTTCTAATACTAGGTCTACTGTCGGGGAAATAAATATATGCGCTCGAGTTTGAGCTTAAATATCTCTGAGATAGATTATCTGATTTTGATTAAACAAATGTTTAATATAAGCTAGTCTAAATAAATTTTACGTGGTGGTAATAAAAAAATTATCCACCTAGCAGAAAAATATTGAATAATCTTAAAAAGATGAAAAGTACAAAAGGTACCGGTTTTTAAGAAACTCTGCACTACCTAACGCTGAAGGTTAAAAATTAACTGTAGTCAAACCACTAAACCAATATTTCGGAAATTTGTAGTGCTTATTATTTCGGTAGGTTTATTGTTATTTTTTCACGCATTTTCAAAATTTTATTTATATGCCATATTTTATGCTGCTATGTTTATTCTTAAAACGCATGCTAAAATGCTAAAACCTCGTTCAAAATACCATCGTGTTTGTCGTGACCCAAGAAATAACAGCGATAAGTCAGATTTATAATGAGAACATAGATGTTTTTAACATATTTATATTTGTAAACAAAAATTTATTCCGTGACTGGAAGCGGGCCGCATTGTATTTGTACGTTATTTCCCAGACGAGCGGGGTCGCGTGCGAATTTGCGACGTTGCCGATGCCTACCTGGCTACAACACTGACATATTTTTCTAAACTATTCACTAATTTACTCACGGATAATTACTGTGAACATCATTTTCTCTATACTTTGAATAGATTTTACCAGTGTAAATATCAAAATATCTAAGACAAACTAGCTAGCTAGATTAGTAATCCCTCATAACGACCATATAGTTCAAGTAAGGGGGGAGCTGATGCTGTGAATTCCATTAGTCATCGAAAATTCCAGGGAACATAACTCTTGCCGGGGATGGCAATGACCTCTCAGATTTCTACTCTCAGTTACGTAGTTTAAAAGTGGCAAATTAAGTAAACCATTAACTGAATACCAAAAAAGTAGAAAATGTCAATGTCTACTTTACAGTCAGCTGGTATTATCTTTTAACTACTTTACATCAATCAACAAAAAACGAAAAGATTGTCTTGGTGCATGTAATACAAAACTGAATTTTCCTACCACCATAGTAAATATCATAATGTTTTTGTGCTATCATAAAATCATAGTGTATTAATTAGATTATTAGAACATTTTATTGGCATATTTCTGTAAATTTATGGATAATGAAGAAGAAATGTCAGTGTTGTAGCCAAATCCTACATCGGCAACGTCGCAGTGTCGTGCGAGCTCCCGCCCGGCTGGGAAATAACGTACAAATACAATGCGGCCCGCTGCCAGTCACGGAATAAATTTTTGTTTACAAATATAAATATGTTTAAAAACATCTTTATTCGCA